GATTATTTAATGCCATTTTTTGCTGAGTTATTCTTCTCTTACTTTCTATTCCACTTCTACCATCACAAAATATTCCTCCGCTTAAGTTCCTGTTGCCTGATATATTTTTATTTCAGGATTTACTTCTCATTGTAAATCATCATTAACTTTCTAAGTCTATATTCTCCACCTTTTTCCACTAATTTGTTTACCAGTTTTTGTAATGTTTCTTCACTATCTGTAACAGGAACAATATCATCTGCATATCGAATATTTGACATAACTTTACCATTCACTTTAATTCTTCCACTACTACTTACAGCTTCTATCATCAAAATTTCTGAATAAACTTTATGGTGATGGAGAGCACACACCTTCCCTAACTCCCGGTCTAACCTTAAACTAATAGGCTTCGGGAACGTAACCTGTTTGACTGACTACTAAAATAATTTTTCTGGATGTCAGCTTTTTCACAATAAGAGCATTTTAATTTTATTATTATCATGATACTTTTATCTAAATTGTCATCTAGGGAAGGTTAGGCTTGATTAGGTTAGGTACAGTGATGCTTGGTTAGGAGGTAATGGCAAGGTTAGGTTGGGTTAGGTTAGAACGCATAAGAATAGGTTACGGTAAAGAACAAAATCTTCATGTTTCTACCAAAATAAAACTCATTAACCTCAAGAACAACAACTTAAACCCTCACCCAAGGTTGCTGCCAAAACCTGAACTTTGTGAAATATAAATTAACTAACACAGTACTATATACCAACCTTTATTGTTGAGAAGATACATTATACCATCAGAAATCCTGGATCTCCCGGTAACTGGTGTCTCAGGTCCCGGTAACTGGTGCTTCTTCACTATTAAAGATATTGTACACATATCAGTCGTCTCGTTAACTAAGTCTGCTCTATAACAACGTTCCACCCATATAGCCTTATATTTGTGTGCCTTGGAAATTAATGATAATGTTGTAGTCTTCCTGAATGTTGTACTTTTGTTCTTTTATTTTTCTTCTGGCGTGTGGGCCGCCATAAGCTTGGTCATGCTGGGACATGTGGTGCCCCGGTGGTCCCGCACCCGACACTTATTGGCAGGGTGTCCGTATCGTTGACACCTGTAACACCGTGTAAGTTTGGCAACATACGGTTTAATTGGGATGGTTTCCCATCCCAGTCGTACTTCTTTTGGTGGTCTTGGGGAAGCCGACCCAGAGCCGCTATACTGGTCAGCTTCTTGGTAACATGGAGTTGGTTATCGAGTAGTTCGGCCAGCTCGTCTTGTTCGAGGTGTGTAATTCGTCGTGGGAGATCACTCCCATCACCAAATTGTCCTCTTCTTGGACTTCAATCAGGATTTTTTTTTCGGACGTCTGCGGACGACATTCGTAACCTTCTTTATCCCTGAGGAGTCCAAAAAACTTCCTTGGGACAAGGTTTCTTGCAGGGATGCCCTTGGACGGGTACAGCCTTAGTTGTTCCCACGTCAGGGTCATGGCAACGTGGTACCTCGGGGTAAGAGGTGCAGGACTCAACGTGGCTCCGGTTGTTTCTCAAGTGCTGGCTTTTGGCGGGATGGCGGGGCGCTGGGGACTCGGTTCTTTGTTGGCTGAATTAGTGCTCAAATGAGCTTCACCTATAATTTCAAGTAAAAAATTAAATAAAACATAAAACAATAACAATTTAAAATATAACATATAAACTGTGACATATATCCATTTATTCGTCATTTTAAAACTTCTTTAGTGATATTAAATAATTATTCAGGGCCTGTGACCAGCCAACCGCCGCCACTTTCAACCATATTTCACTATGCACCCAGTAGTTACATGTTAATATATTTTTTTTACAAGTCCAAGTTCTTCTTTCAGTTATACTCACCACATTATAATAAATATTTTGATTTGCACCAAAATACACTATTTTAAACCTCTATATTTGTGCACCAGTATCACATTTTACATCAAAGATACAGTATACAGGTATACTGAACCATACTGAAGCACATACGCAAGGAATTATCAAATAACCATATTAGGCATACCTTGGTCATACGTCAGAGTCATGTTCCCATACACGACAGTAGGATTTTTTTTTTACGGGCGTTAGCCCACTCCACCACATCAAGGCCCGGGGGGGGGGGAGAATTATAATAAACTGATAATTATGATTATAACAATAATAATTATGATAATAATAATAATAATGTATGTACGTATGTATGGACTAATAGTCTAATACAGACAGCATAGAAATATTTATTTGCTCAGAAGTTATGAAGTACTTCTCCAAACTCTCTAATACATAATACCGTACATGTATTATGGCGGGAAGCAATAGTGAATCCTCGGAAGTTAGTTAATTATTTACAGGCGGTTAAATATTTAACAGGTTGATATTTTGATCCTTTAACTATACACATACACACAATAAATACAGTATGTGTTTTCATGTTTAGATGTTCTTTATCGAGTTAGTTTTCTTTCGTCTTCCTGTATAATTCGTTTCGACTGTTTAGTCTTTTTTATAATTCTCTCATTCTATATACGTTTATCTTCTTTAGATTCTATCAGTTTCCATCTTTCCTATTCCCCTATTCTCTTTCTTTGTCTCACTCGTTGTCTTTCTCATTTCTTCACTCACTAATTCCTCTCCTCTTTCTATTTTGTCTCATATAGCCACAAAAGGATTATAATAATAAAATGTTTTATGATAATTATATATTTCAATATCTTGTATATGTATTGAAAGTATATCCTATCAAGAATCATCGGGCCATTTATACACACAAGTGACACCAAATACCACAGAAAATATCGATAATATGATATTTAGTAACAATCCCCCCCCCCCGTCCACAGGGCCCATGGGAGGTAACAGGACTGAAATATTAAGACAGCAGATAACACCATCACATGTAGGTTAGACATTACAGTTTATTTCACCTGAAATTTAGACACCTGATAATTTCACCTGAAGATTAGACACCAGCTTATTTCACCTGAAGTTTAGACACCCCAGCTTATTTCACCTGAAGATTAATTACCCAAATGTTACCTGGAGTGGTAGACGTGGCTAATCTTCAGGTGAAATAAATGAGGTTGTCTAATCTTCAAGGGAACTGACAAGAATATAACCTAACCAAATCAAGTTTCGACTATATTTTTAGGTTAGGTTAGATTAGATTAAGTTAAGTTAGGTTAGTTGACATTCAGCCATCAAAAATATTTTAGTCAGACCCACTGTTAGGACTTTACGGACTGTGGGGGGGGGGTGGTCACAGGACAGTAACTGCTAGTAGTATCATTACATTATTACCAAAGTCAGCACCTGATAAATGATATCCAGTACAGTATATATACACACTGAGACTGACATAATAGTTATGGTAAATAATAATATTGTGGATGTAGTTAACAGTCCTCAATGACTATCTATTTTTGTTCTATATATTGGAAGGATTTACAGTAAAGTGGACACAAGTTTGGTGAATCAAACCCATATTTAGGTCAGGTTTTGTTATTACTGGATTAGTTGTTTAAATTACCATGTTTAGGTTAGGTTATATAGGTTTGACTTACAAAATACTCTCACATGGAATGAATTGACTGAACTGTACATACCTGAATTAAGCAAAAGCAGCTACTGTGTTATGTATTAAACTGTGGCACAAAGATTACCGCGATTCTAGTTTTCTAACCCCTTGATATTTGGGGTTATGGTGGACGAACCTGGAATAAGTAAATATGTGACTAAAATAAAATAAAAAAGCTTAGAAGCAGAAATGGACAACACACATGGTTACTGATTCAAGACAATAATTTAATATTTTGTACAGGCCGTTGTTTTGTAAAGCAGGACGTACTGTGGCATTAATTGACCTAAGTCAGCTTCTACTACATACCTTAGATACCATATATGGATCACTACCATAAATGACATGGATTTTTGTTCTTACTGAGTCAGTTAGATTAGGTCTGACTGTTAGGATAGATTACAGTACATTAGGCTTAGTACTTCAACTAAACTCATTTATGTTACATTTGATTAGGTTAAGGTATGTTTAGTAGTGTAGTGTCTGCTTGGTTGCACTATGGTTTTGTTAGGTTGAGACGGGTTAAGTTACGCGAGTCACCATTTGGTTCCTGTACGAGAAATAAGTTGGTGAGGTCACTGCTACTTGAGGAAGCTTACTGTACACAAGGGACAAAATAGGAAGTGAGAAAGTCTAGCAAATGGTATCATTAAGAAGACACTATAAAAATAGATGAGCCAAAATCTGGTTATCTGTTGAAAGGACATGAATGGAGTACAATAATATATGAGGCAGCCCATTTAATGGTACCCAGGTGACTGTGGCTCCTCTAAAGAACCACTAACACACATAACATGCATTAGGCCATGGATCAAATTGGACCACTGCCTCACAGACCCCATTTTAACCTAAGATTGGGACCGAGTCAAAATGGGTCCTATTTCTAACACAGTATAGTAGATTAAGTTGGGGCTTATCAAGATTGGTGCCAATGAACCTGTAAGCCAAGCATCATACACTGCAGTGGCAAACTCATCAAAATAGTAAACAAACTTTTAGAAATGTATCATTGGAATGTGCACATCCACAAACACATCCATAAAAGGCAACCTATAATTTGCTATTGATATGATTTTCATGCAATCTATCACTGAAGAAAATACAAAGGCAGTAGATTAATACAAATATCTTCAATATCAGTTAAAATACAGGAAAAGCCCATTAACATGAACAAAAGAGTATTGGTTGACTAGACTTACCGTAAGTCTTAAGAAAGTATTCATTCGTAAGTCTTCAGGTTTAACCACCAAGTAAAATGTGATGGTACTGTATTCTTTAAGAGTGGAGGACAAAAGACCCCTATATTTGACTACCAATTTTACATCTTCACCAATTAAACTGTTACTGTACACCTTTCCTATCCAGTTTATATGAGAATGACAAAGGTTGAATTATAGGACTTTTAATCACATAACAAACAATAATTAATACCTGATCAACCTTTAATAAAGAGCCTCTTCTATGATATATGTCTCTGTTTATAATATGTAATGTAATCCTTTATTGAAACATTCTTCCCCCTCATGTAATTATCAATTCTCTCTGACCAAACCTTCAGCTCTCCATATCACCTCATTCCATGGCATTCTTTTCCTGTGTCCATGTCAACATCATAATAATACTCCAATTCTTAGCTTCATCAATGAGTTCTACGAATAAACATCCTGGTTCATTCACTTACTGTGAGTATTTTTATCAGACCACAATAATATAATTTATGGCATATTTAATTATTGGTCACTCTTATTACAGCACGATACAACATAATCTACTCACTATACACGACTTAACTTGTCCTTATTGTATCTTCATCACAAATACCTTCCCAGAAAACTTAATTTCCTAGACCAGACTACACATTCTACTGCCATAGATCTCATCACTTGACTAGACATTCTGGAAAAGAAAAATGTACTGTGTTGCACACTACAAATCTCTACATACCTATTATATTCATTACTCATCCTAAAGCTCAGACATTTTCAACTATTCTTCAAGATTTTTTGAATTCAGCTTCTGTTTTAACATTCTTACAACAGTAACTATGCAAATCCTCCTGTAGTTACTTTTTTCATGCCATCAATTTAAAATCATCATTAATTGTATTTGAATTCTTACAATATTCTGCTTTCATACTGTACACTCTCCCCAAATGCTTCCTTTTTATCTCCAAATTCTGCTTATTCTTTACTAATGGTTAATCTCACCCCAACACTTTTACTGGCTGTACAATCCTTCATCAATATCTACATTGAACAAACATGAGAATATATCCCTGTTTAGCTACATCATACACTGTACATAAATATAGTGCTAGTAACTCACACAATTCTGTATATATAACTTTTCAGTGGAATTAAAATGCTATTGTCTTTTACAATTCCTATTAAATGTATGTATAACATAATAATAATATAATCTGGTTACTGGTACAGTATAATATATGATTAAGATGGACTAATTGTCTATTTGGCACTACAGAGGAAGATTAAATACTGTTTTCTCAGTGGTACTGCATCTTCAAAAATGCAAAAGATGACTATTATAGTAAATGCCACATCACTCTTGTAGTGATACACCAGTAATGAAGAAGTAATGTTAGTAAAGTATTCAAAATAATTCAATACTGAACCAAGAATTTAACATAACTAATACATTACAAACACCTTAGACTATTAGATTGTTTATTTGAGGGAAACAAACATCACCAAGAAAGAAATTATTGAATATTCTTTAGTTGAGGAAAAAATGAAAATGAGTAAAGTCCTCTGAAAATAATGTTGAGTATATTAATGACGGTCAAAGTCTATAACCACAGACTATCAAACAATCAATGTACTGCAGTTATGTAGTTCAAACAGAGGGGCAAAATTCCAAAAATAAATTTAGAAGAAAAACAAATTTAATTAATTTACTGTTTTTGTTCTTCCAGTGTCAGCAAAGTCAAATTTATCATTATAACGATGTATGAACGTGTATGAATCCTGAATGAGAGGCAAATGACAACTACAACCACTGGTGTTGACAATGACTACTGACAGACATGATGCATAAAGCATATAAAAGGGAAGAGCACTGGAGGGACTCGTGGATGGACCCAAACAGCAACAGCCACACATTTTACAAGTGAAACTAAAACATTTGTAACAGAACTTAAAACTCACAAAACACACCTCTAGGGGATATAACTCATACATATAACTAGGATGATCAATAATTGGTCGTTTACTGTTAAAACACGGTTGAAAAAGAATCCCTCATGTTCAAAAATGGGAAGGTTAGTTCATTAACTCTTAACGCCTTGTGTACGGGGTCCCCTCTGTGCTGAATAAAATCATCCGGCGCAAGTCAAATAAAATATTAAAAGTGGCATCTCTGTAGTGAAGGGGTTAAGAGGAGTAAATGTCAACATGTGGATTTAAAAGTGCCAAAGCCATGAGTTTTAAAAATAAAGAATATATAACCAATAAAAAGATTTGAACATAAAGGCAAGTAAATGATAATGTTAAAATTAATTAACATTATAGAAATTCATATGTGACAATAAAAAGTAAATAGAAAAAATATTACTCAATAATAAAACTTCTAGGAGTAGTTAAATGTAAATATAATATGTAATAAAAACTATATGGTAGTTATAAACAAAACTATAGTATTCAGTTTTCCTAAAATTTTCTCAATACAGTACAGGTATACCTACAAGCTCAACTAAACCATAGAAACTGTCTACACCAGAAATGTCCAGCATCAGCACTTCACAATACATTCCTGAAAAGAAAACTAAGACTTGCACTAGCGGCAACTTTCTTGGGTACTCCTCCTAAGGCTCTTTATATTGTGTCAGTCTAATCATATATTAATCCAAGATCAAGAAATACTGTACAATGACCAACAACAAGTTACAAAAGATTCATAATCAACCAGAGCCATCTTTATCTGCATTACAATAGTTGTTAAAAATATACCTCAAATGTTATCACCATTATTTTCTGTATACAGGTTATCTCCTAAAGAGCTAAATCTAACTTGGGGAGCAACAGACACCTGTTTCCTGTATCATAGTTTTCAATTTTATTTCCCAACTTGATGCTATATTTCACTAATAGTTAAAGAACTATAGTAAAATTCTATCATAAGACTTACATTATCCCTGCAGCAGCTATAAAATGACACTCACATCTGCATTTATCAACTTCCTAGGCCAGAGATGACAGCCCAAGTCTGACTGGAAGTTAAGAGCTCTGGCCAGTCCAGAATTTGATAGATCTGGACTGACAGCAAGATGAGAACTTTAGCCTGACCAGATATTGACAGCTCTGACATGACTGGAAATTTACAGTTGTGGCCTGACTAGGAGCTGACAGCCATAACCTGACCACAGGTTGACAGGTCTGCACTTGGTACACTCTCCATATGATGTTCCGTATCACTTATAAATGCTAAGACACACAGCTGACAAACTCATAACAAAGGATGGATAATCTCCCACTTTTTTCTGTATGCTGCTCTTATAGAAGTACTGTAAGTAATTGAAGAATATCATCTATGTAAGATTCATTCAGAATCAAGGCTACAATCAGAGAAATTCACACACATGTATATAGCAAGAGATAGCGTGGAGCAATATTTTTGACACATTTCTCACCTGATAACTCCAAGAGATAAATGTGACAAAAGGTGGAAAAAATCATCCATTCTTCTATGACAAAGACACTATTCTGCTCCATGTTTACTATAAATATCAACACACAGAAGAACTACTGGCTTCTGGTGCTCATGAAAGCACTAACAAACAGAAGTAAAGTGAATGATTTATTTGTCCTTCAGGTTCATTTATCTGGCCAATAAACCAAACCCACAACTACAGCACCATTTGTTTACTGCAGTGCATTCTTACCAATTCTCCTGAGAAATACATACAGTATACTTTTCAAATCAATGCATAAAACTACTATTTATATTTACAATTCATAAAATGGAGAAGACCCAAAGGCTAATCATTATTTAACCATACTGTATTGTACATACTTGAAACATTATTAGTCTTTTCCAGGTCAAAGTATTCAGTGGTCCGAGACGTGCACGTTCCACCGGCAAATGTTTGGAAAAGTTGAGAGGCGGTGGCATCAGAAGTCCTCTCTACCTTGATGCATTTGGGGTCTCTGATTTAGAGAATCAAAGTTGTATTTTCTTGTTATAATTACTGATCACTGAAGGTTATTCAGCTGACAACGGAAACACATAATAAAAAAAATGCAAACTGAAAACACAGGTTCATTTAGATTCATGTCTTAGGGTTATATACCTGATCAATTTTTGTCGGTGTTTCTTCTCTTTTCATCAACTGGTAGCTGATAAACTTAAATGAGACATTTGCCTCATTGTTGTAGCAATCAGGCACACAACAGTTGTAAATGACAAATTACTGTAACTATGTCACACAGCCTTTGTACAGGTAATTTAAGTAGGATAAAAACAATTATAGCCGACCCGACCCTGGGTGTTTCCTAGAGCGCACTGCAGTAAATTAATGATGACATAATTATGCTAAGACCTCACTGAAGAGCAACAACACTTCATGGGCTGTTTAGCATTTCCACACTAAAATTTTATCTTCCCTAATTTCTCACTGTACTTTAAAGATATTTTTTTATCTTTTAAAAGATCATACTTCCATTTTTTATCTTCATTAACTCCTTGTTTTCACTTCATTTCTGTATCCTTTAACTGTCGCCTTTTAACTCTTGTCACCTTCTGGTGCTCCACAATTCTTACTTGTCATTCTGTTTTCACTTACTGAGATTCTCCTCCATTCTTATATGATAATTCTGTTGGTTAATGCAGACAAGTGATACTTGCTTATATGACTGACAAACTAAAATGAAGAATCTCCAGCAAATGTTCCGAGTACTGCTGTTCATATTGATACTTAAAGAAGCTAATAGAGTCCATATCTACATTACCTTACAATGAATCTACACATCATAATACAGAATTCAAAGTGTGGAAAAAGTTTGTATTTCATGTAGAAGTTTTAAAAAAGCAGCCTCAACACAACCTGGAGACACTCCAACTACTGTACTCCAAAATATCCTCTGGTGAAGATACATTTTCACGCTGGATCATTGAGGAAACTGTCTAGCTCACTTGTGTCCTGTTCCAAGTCCACCTCTTCTAACTTCAGTCCCTGCTCATCCTCTGTGCTTGGGATTCTTCCTGTAAATGTAGAAAACGAAAATAAAAACAACTCGTAAAATCCAATACGTGATTATACTTTTTATCACGACAGGAACCTTACAGCAAAAAAGTACTATAAAGATCTGACAGTAAAAAATAATAATATAATGTACATAGTTTTTAAATTTTACAACCTTTTTCCCATTACTGTATACTGCAGGGTAACTAGCATCAAAAGAATACAGTCTTATTTCAATCCCATCTATCTATTGTCTCTGACCAATGTGACATTTCGAAAAGACAAATTGATGCCACTGTCTCTCATCATACACGCTACACTACTGTTTCCTGGAGGTCCATCACTCTCCCTTCTTCTCCATCCAAAATACCAGAGCTATGTTAAATGTTGATGACTTCAAAGATTTACCAGGTAAATGAAGACTGGTGTGTTACTACTCACATCTCACTGATAACCTAAACTAACCTAACCTAAAAAAAAAAATATTACCATCAGGACTTACTTGTTACATGACCCTGTTCTTTGTAATATTTAATATCTTCACTGAACTGATCTGAGAAGACCTTTTCTCTCTCTTTCCTCTCATCCTCTTTGTGCTTCTCCAGTGCCAGCATCTTGGCTTGGTGAGTCACTGACAGCTCATCTGGTGATGGGAATTCCATAATGTACAACATCTTGTAACTCAGAGGCACAATAATACTGTAAAAATTAACCCATTTTTGTCATACATCTATGGAGATCCACACTCCAAGAACAAAAGTTTTTGCACTGTATACATCACATTCAGGTGCTGCTGTTTAAAAAAAAATCCTAAATGTTTTAGAAATGTTATCTATAATATTACACTAACTTTCCTTCACTAAAAAGATGCTTCATTACTTGAACTGGGTTGCAAGGCAGTAAAACCCAGTATCCAGCAGGGTAAATTAAAATTTTGCATGTGTACGCTAAAGTAGGGAGTCTAGAACATCAAACCTCATGGCCACAGGAGAGGAAAACACTCACATGTACAGTTTTCCCGTGATCCTACAATTAATGTGGTGAGGTAAATCATGTCACATTAAGAGTGGCAAGGAGGCTGAGTGAGGTCACTATGTTTACACTCATTGTTTCCTGCAGTAAGAGTGGTCATCCCACTGCAGTTCACCATCTGACCTGACTGTTTGGAAACATTGCCATCCAATAGATATTCACAGTGCAAGGTAACCATCAGACTAGATGCTTAATATATATCGGCAAAACCTAATTTTTAATGTGTTGGTTTCATCATCCACTGTCACAATATTAAATTAAAAGTGAAGACAAGATGGACTCCTAACTTTTAAAGCTTGACTCCAGCGTTGCATGAAGATAATGTGGACTGTTTAGGAATATTCACCCAAAGGTCCCAGACACTTAAAGAAATCAAATGCCCAGAGATATAATAATATGGACCAATCTTCCATAAGAACCATAGAAACCTTATATAATATTCTAATGTCTTTCTCATGACACCCACCCATACAAATGTCACACAACTCTTTATGAGAATTACGTTCAAAACATTATATCATAAATGAAGCGCCAAACTGTATATATAAGACTCACTTTTAAGGGAATTAAGTCTGTGTGTGTGTTTTTCCCGTGCTAAAGCGAGACTCAGCCGGAGGTCAAGTGTTTGTTCTTGGAGAGAAAGTTCTTCATCTAGATCTTCCAGCTCCATGAGGCCACCTTCAACCTCCTCAAAAACTCCTCTCATAGAACCTAGTGAAACACGAGGAAATGTTTACAATTAATAATAACAATCATGTTTTGTAAGTGGTCTTCAATAAGTTGAGCAATTCTAAGTCTAAATGATATTGTTCTACTGTAGTCAACAATGTAGAAGGCTTTATTATTTCATACAATTTCCTGCTCGATCTGAATAAAAATAATATCATACAGAGTTAGGACTGAAAGGGTCAAAACATAGGGGAAGATGTCATAGAGCAGGGGTTTTCAAACTATGGGTCCCGACCCTTCAGTGGGTCACGAAATAAATAAATTGGGTCGCAAAATAAAAATGGGTCGCGAAAATAAATAAGAAAAAAAATAAAATGGGTCGCGAAAATAAATAAGAAAATAAAAATAAATGCACCATAATTTAGGCTTGGTTATTGTAATATACACTCCACAGTCTAGGAAGCGACTGCAAGGAGAGCAGTGTTTGTCTTTGATTTACTCATTTCATATCATTACACTTAGGTTTAATGGGTCGCAATTCAAATTGTTGTTCTGGCTGTGGGTTGCAGTAAAAAAAGTTTGAAAACACTGTCATAGAGTATAGTACACATACCTGATGGAACAATGGAACATTTTATTTACATCATGCAGTTCTCACTAAGTGTTTGGATGGAATGTCTGAGGGTCAATAGGACTGTGTTTCCCATACTGTAAACCATGAAGGCTTTTGTTAAACCACCAATGTATGTAATAAGTCATTTATGTCCAATGTATATTTTCAGCCTTCGGGCTGCAGAATTTTTTCAATAAACCGTTAATTATTATTATTATTATTATAAAACTAAAGGGAATAAACTACAGCTACTTTAAGTGAAGATATGAATACAGATGTGTTCAGAGATCAATTAAAATCAAATTAAACAAAAAGTTCTATAACCAGATGAATTAGTATTTCGTTTCTGTAACCAAAACATCACTTAAGAACATAAGAAAATAAGGAGTCTGCAATAGGCCGATTGGCCTGTGCCTGGCAGCTCCTGTCAAGAGTTACTACCACTCTCTATCATCCATGAATCTATCCAGCCTCCTTTTGAAACTTTCCAGAGTTCCAGCACTTACTACAAAGTTGCTAAGCTTGTTCCACTTGTCCACCACCCTATTTGTGAACCAGTTCCTTCCTATCTCCCTCCTAAACCTAAACCTAAACTTGAAGCAGTCATACTTGGTGATAGCAAGTAAAAAATGAAAGCCTTATCACACTACTGATACATAAACCCTCATATAAGTATATTCAACTCACCTATAGTTGCCAACATGGAGTGCAACTGAGCCATAATGTTAGGTAAGTGAGCCAACAGTGAGTGAATTTCTGCCATCTGACTGTGTTGACTCTCACATTCATCTGCCAAGGTAGTTATCGCCCCATCAATATTCTGGAAACAAAACTGGGTTGATGAGAATAACATCACAAACTAATACCGGTATATTACCTTAAAAATATGCAAGTGATTAGTCGAAAATATTAATAAAGAAATACTGAAGTTAATTAAGAACAATATCATCTCATACATCAACACAAAATGACACATAAGATAACAGTATTACAGTATAACCAATCACAAGACAACCATTTTTTAAGATAATCATTAGCCCACCTGAGCAACTTTAGCATTTTGTTCAGCCATATGATGCATGGTGGCCCACTGTGTCTGGTACATCTGCATGAGGTCAGAGCCGGCAGCCAGGTTCATGTTAGACTCGGTGGGGGTCGTCGCTTGTCTCTCTCCCACCGACAGCCTCTGCAGCCTACAGAAAATCATGATGAACCCTATTGACTGACCTAGAAATTAATATACTCTACCATAATATACTGTATAAACAAATGAGAATAAACTAAAGGCTCGTCTGATTATTAATATATGCGTGGAATAAATAAAAGCAAAATCGCGAGCATTACAGAGTACCACGGTACCATACAGGACTAATGCATACAGACACCATATAGTGATGGTACAGTACTACAGCAAGTAATTTCATCATAACTGTAACAATAAGCTAAAATATTATATTACTTTTATCATCTTTGCCACTGATCGGCTCATTAGCTGCTTGGGAGGTCGGTCACGTAATGGTTGAGAAAAATTTAATGCACGAGTAGGGATTAAATCTTTGATAGTCCATGGATAAAGAAGAGTGATAAAAGAGGGAAGAGGGTAAAGTAAGGAGGCCATTTTTAAGAGATCTTCCAGTTTTTTGCTTGTTAGTAAATACAATGCAAACCTGTTGTAAAAATAATTATAGAACAAACTTATACATATCAAAACCAAATCTGAAATCTCCATAGACAGTTCCCTGGTCCATATTGTTGAATTTGCACTGAGAAAGCTACAGTGGTGAATCATTTTTTACCTCAGAGGACACCAAATTTAACCTATCTACGCTTTACTTTGATCATTATATTACATTTGGTTGGTTCGTGTCATCGAGTTGTCAGATAATGGTTAAAATCTACATAAAACAGATGAAGCACAATTTCCTGCTGCCAACATAACATTAGGTATATTTAAGAGCATAATGAGGCAACTTAACCAACCATACTGATAGAAAATTTGTTTATATTGGAAAGTAATCATCACATACACTTCTAAATTTGCTAAATAATGTATTTACAACAGTATAAAGGAAAATAAAGTCTCAAAGTATTCCATCTTTGCAAGGAGAATTAACATTTCCTATTGTGTATTATTTTACTCTAACCAACTACAAAGTCCCTGTGTATTATAACAATTAAACTCACCCTGCTGTAATTCCATCTTGAACCGTTTGTATATTTTTTCTCAGAGACTCAAACATTTTATCAATTAATAATAGTTTTTACTAGTGATCAATGTCTATTACATCCACATCCTCGCGCACACTAGTCTGTCCCGATCACTATATTGACTTTGGCTTAGAGACTCTTATATATTTTATATTTTTATTTAAATTTATAGAATTATATTGAGTAATTTAATTTATTAGATGTTATTTATATTGAATTAATTATTAAGTTTTGTTATTTTTATTTTATTTTTATCTTTTAATGTTATATGTTATAGTTGGTAAGGGGATTGAGACGCGGTGTTTACCTCCCTAGGTGACCCACTGCGCCTGCGTCAACCTTCCCGCCAGATGGTCGAAATTAACTCACTCCTTCATATTTTATCCAATTATTACCACATTTAGGTATTGTACTTCATCTTTATCACTATCAGCAGATGTTGATTATCATATTGTAGTAGTATGAATGTTATTTTCAGGGATTTAAGGTTGTGGTTAGGTTTAAATGGTGTTTTATGTGTGGTAGTGTTGAGGGTGTGTGTCAGCTGTGTACTGGACGGTCTCGCCCTCCACCATAGATATATTTTTCGTCTTTATTCACGTTTTTTGGACCACTTACATATACTACATCAAACTGAAAACAGGTAAGGAGTTGTGTTTTTTATGTGTCATATTAGAATTAGTGTAGAAAATTAAATTAAAACTTAAAATATGAAGCCTTAGGTTGTTAAAACAGATGTACTGTAGTGTGTTACTAGGTACAGTATCTCTAGTTACCGCTTTATGGTTCTGTAATATTTGCATTTTTGTATATAAAAATTCGAAACTCTTATGGATTCATTGCATAGGTCAAGTATTTTCACCGATTGTACAGTACTTGTGGTCTGTTAGTTCCATATTGTGGTGGGTAGCAGTTGTCATTGTCACCACTGATTGATGATAAACCCAGTCAGTTGTGGTAATATTTAAGGATTAACCAGCCACCTAAGTACAAATATCGAGGTAATTAGCGGTTTAGCACATGACCTGCAGTTAATGATGAAAATAGGTTCTTATATAGAGTTTAATTCTAAATAATTTTTCTTTGGTGTTGTGTGCAAATGAGTGGTTATGGATATACTGTAGGCAGTGGATATTTTGCCGTGACAGTTAAGTTCCTACTCATGCTATTTTACCGTGAGTCTGCTCTGATTGGCTAATCGTCCGTTACCGACGAACAGCACGAGAACTATATTTGACCGTGACTTGTGGCATTTGGCATTTATTTTTCCTCGAGTTGATCGTTGTTTAGCTATAAACATACCTAACCATATATATGTTGTGCATGGAACTTATTATAAAAGAAGCGACATTTACTAGAACGTAATAGAATCTGACCTAACCAACCAAAGAAACCTACCTAACCTTACTTAACTTCCTAGCTGGGAGGATCGGGCCCCCGTCATATTAAACAGACAGTACTTACCCAATCAAAGTGTAATCACGGTAAAATAGCATTAGTAGGAACTTAGCCGGTCACGGCAAAATATCCACTATGTACACTGTATGCCCACTCCCCCTCCATCCAAAAAATTTGAAGTCCAGAAAGTGAACAGGGTTTTGAAGCAGAGGGAAAATGTTGCAATTCCTCTGCCAATTTATTTTTATTAGTGAGGTAAGAAACTAGTTTCTTTATATAGAGAATTTCCCTGAAGTCGTTCATTTCCATGAATGACAGCTAAAGTAATAAAGATATTATCCCTTGTTTAATGATGGGGTTGTGTTCCTGACAACCTAACGCCTCAGCAAGGTTATCACTAAACGAGGGATAGTACCCGTGGACTCTAATGTGGCTTGTAATAATTTTTTCACAACTTTTATAGTTTTATTACATGTGTCAACAACAAAAACAACAGACCATCTAATAGGCCACCTCATCTCTGGTTTTCCCCCATCATAGTGTGTCGATCTATCGCTAGACCGAATTTTGACCTAACATTAAGTAAGAAAGGGTGTCAAATTTTTTTTGTGCTAAACGAGGGACACCTGTGAACTTACCAAAAAAATGTAAATTGAGAGCAGATTATATGAAATACACAGAATCCAACTTAACTAAAACCCTCTACTCAAACTGCAGAGTCTGCCATGCACAACACAAACCATCTATCATCCTCCTGCCCATTCCCAACATAGTGCAGATAACTCTTTTAACATGACTTCTACAAGAGACTTTGGGAGGTAGCAGTTAAAGTGGCTGGGTATGTCAGAAACAGTACTGTACCTACACAACACAATATCAACACCTAACACACACTTGTGTATCTGTAACTGTTCTTGTACTCAGTTACTAAGAAATTATTACTTTTGTGCAGTTTTTGTTCATAATCTGATTTTTCATTTTCATTACAATATTGTATACTATACCTGTATTTCTGAACAATTTATCATATCATCTTATTTTGTATGTTCTCTCACTATTAATTGCTAATATTAAGTATTCTTCTTTTTCAGAAGTTTTAGGGCACCATGGATTGCCTGGAGAGGCTCCTGGGCAAGCTGCCTCCAGTCCTGCCGAGCCTTAAAGATCAGATCGAAGAATATCTCCTGACTCCTGAGGAACTACCCATCCACGACCCCATTTTTTCCCGTCGGTGGTTTCCCAGGAAACCGGATCCCACTCGCCTGTATGATATTTCTCTGTTACCCCCAAGTACATGTCTTGAGGTAGAGCGCGACCCTGCTACTGGTGAGATCACGGGACTGCGTGAAGTGCCAAACAAAGATGCTGGAGCCACGGCTAAAAACTCGCTGTCCATGAGGCGCGCCCCTGGACCTCCGGAGGAGACTGTCAGGGGATCCTCTACTAACTTCCCATTCTGGCCAGGAGGATTCCCAGAACCAGTTCTGGATAAAGAATCAGTTGAGGCAGAGTTTCAGTTAGATAGTAATAATTATCTCTCACACCACCCAAAACTCTCCCGAGGAATGATCTTTGAGGTACCAAAACAGCTGCCCGAGAAAGAGGAGAAGCCGACAGAGAAGGCACCTGAGCTAGTTGTGAGTATAACGGACATGCTGCAGGTGGATGAGAGTGTACTCAAGATCTTTGATGAGAAGGAGGAAAAGGTAGTAAAGAAAGAACTTATATTAACTTTTGAAAACTTGAATGAAGAAGATACTTCACTTGTTAAAAATTTCAACATAGAACCTCCTCCGAAAAAAGATGAATTTGTATTGAATATCAGTGACGCCTCGAGGTCTTCAACTATAGTGGTGAAGAATACAGAGTGGGCCGAAAATATTGACGTTAATGAACCAGTTGACGACTTTAACTCGCAAGTTCCTAATCCTGCTTGTAAGTATCCATTTGAACTGGACACTTTTCAGAAGCAAGCAATCCTACATTTGGAAAAACACGACTGTGTATTTGTTGCTGCACACACTTCAGCCGGCAAGACGGTGGTGGCAGAATATGCCATTGCGTTAACTTTAAAGCACATGACAAGAGCAGCTTATACCTCTCCCATTAAAGCTCTTTCAAATCAGAAGTATCGAGACTTCAAAGTAAAGTTTGATGATGTGGGCCTCTTGACTGGCGACATTCAGATCAACCCAAAAGCTTCCTGTTTAATCATGACAACTGAAATTTTGCAATCTATGCTTTACAATGGTAGCGATCTTATAAGAGATTTAGAATGGGTAATCTTCGACGAGGTTCACTATATCAATAATGCTGAAAGAGGACATGTTTGGGAGGAGGTGCTCATCATGCTCCCCAGTACTGTGAATATTGTGTTGTTGTCTGCCACTGTGCCCAACACAATTGAATTTGCAGATTGGATTGGCAGGATTAAGAAGAGAAAAATATACGTCATTAGTACCAGCAAGCGTCCCGTACCTTTAGAACACTTCTTGTACACCGGCACGGGAGGTAAGAGCAAAGACGAACGCTTTTTGCTGGTAGACGCTAATGGTAGGTTTATCAACAAGGGTTACAATGATGCCGTGGCTGCAAAGAACGAAAAGAAGAAAGGCCACACGCTGCAGGGACCAAAGCAGGGCCGGCAACACATGGGAGAGAAGCAAGAGAAAAATATGTGGATTGGTCTCATTGATCACTTAAGTAAGAGAGACTTGCTGCCGATCGTAGCATTCACTCTGTCTAAAAAGCGGTGTGATAGTAATGCTACTCAGCTGATGAGCCAAGACTTGACGACAAAAAGGGAAAAGGGAGAGATCTTTTCATTTATTAAAAAGTGCACAGACAGACTTCAGGGGACAGATAAAGAGCTGCCTCAGGTGATTTACATGAGAAGTTTACTACAAAAAGGTATTGGCATTCACCATAGTGGTATTCTTCCCATCCTTAAGGAGGTTGTAGAAATGCTGTTTGCCAAAGGCCTTGTAAAGCTTCTGTTTGCGACAGAAACCTTTGCAATGGGTGTAAACATGCCTGCAAGATGTGTGATATTTGATTCCATCAGAAAACACGATGGAAAAGCATTTCGGGACTTGGTACCCAGCGAGTACATCCAGATGGCAGGGCGTGCTGGTCGCAGAGGCTTGGACTCGACTGGAACAGTCATCATTCTTTGTAAGAACGAAGTACCAGAGTTGTCTGAACTTCACCATATGATGTTAGGGAAGCCTACAAAATTGGAGTCACAGTTCAAGTTGACATATTCTATGATCCTGAACATTTTGCGTGTTGAGAGCATCAGCGTGGAGGACATGATGAAGAGGTCTTTCTCTGAGGTTCTGAAGATGGCTAATGAGAGTAAGTATGAAGCAGAACTAAAACAAGCAGAAGAGAGACTCGGTAAAGAGCCAGAATTTGAATGTATGATGTGTAAAGACATAGAAAAATATTATGCTTGTGCTAAGGAGTATGAAAGGCAGCGCAGGTATGTCTATGAAAACGTGCTTGGGTTTCCCGGTGTCATGAAGACGATGACTCCAGGGAGGATTGTCATCATATGCTTTAACCAGTATCAATTTCGCCTGGCATGTTTGCTGAAAATTGATGTGAAAGATAGAAATAAGCTGACTGTGCTTATCCTAAAAGATGGAAAAGAATCCAGTTCCTTGACAAAAGAACAACTTAGGTTAAAGGAAGCCGTTGCAGCTAGTCAGGTAGATTTTGATATATTGGAAAACACGTCAGAACACGCATCATTGGAAATGACTCCTCAGCATTTAGCAGCTATCACAAACAAAGTGATCAAAGTGAATGGAGAGAAAGTAATTGACAACATCAAAAAACGACAAATCCCACGATTTAGAGATGATCCACCTTCACCGTCTGTTATGGGCGTGATTAATGAATTGCAGCGTCTGAATGAGTCTGGTGGAGAGAATCTGTCCTATCTCGACTTGGTAAATGACTGTGGAGTTAGGGACTTGGCAGCTGTCACTGAAATTGATATCCTTAAAAATCTAAAACTAAGAGTTATGGAACAGTCTTGTCTAGAGTGCACACAGTTCAGAGAGCACTTTGGTATTACCTTCGTAAAGTTGAGCCTTCAAGAGGAAATTGGTCGTCTCAAGTTCCTCATGTCAGAAGAGGCACTACAGCTCCACCCTGAGTACCAGATGAGAATCCAAGTGCTCAAAAAGCTTGGATACATTGAAAATAACAATACAGTAACACTTAAAGGTCGAGTGGCCTGTGAGATGGGTAACCATGAACTGATGGTGACTGAACTTGTCCTTGAAAATGTGTTTGCTGACAGTCCAGTTGAAATAATTGCTGCACTGTTGTCCAGTATGGTCTTCCAACAAAAGCATTGTAGTGATCCAAATCTGACACCAGAACTACAAAAGGGAATAAAACAGTTCCAGAGTGTGGCCAGTCATATTGGAGAGGTACAGAAGGCGTGTGGCCTGCCAGAGGCTGTTGGTGATTTTGTAGAGCAGTTCAATTTTGGCCTGACAGAAGTAGTGTACGAGTGGGCTCATGGGATGCCATTTAATAAGATAATGGAGTTGACAGACGTGCAGGAAGGAATCACCGTGAAGTGCATCCAGCGGTTAGACGAGACATTTAAGGATGTCAAGAATGCCGCCCACCTCATTGGTGATCCGAACCTTCGGGAAAAGATGGAGGCTGCCTCCACAGCTATCAAGAGGGACATTGTATTTACGCCCAGCTTGTACACTCAGTAACAAGTGAGTGCTCTTAACTGCTTTCAGACTTATGAGCTTGCTATAAAACCATTTCTGTGCACAAGAGAATTCTCATTTTTATAGCCTCCTGTGCCATGTAAGACTTGTAAAATTGTAAAAAAAAAATCGTGCCAGAACCAAAGAATCGTGGAAATTAATGGTAAATAGCATTATTTAACCGGTGATAAGTGATGGTCAGTGTAATATATCCAGCATCAGAGCAGTTATGTATACTGGACTATATGATCATAATCAACATTATTATTTATTCATGACACGATGTTCTTGCTACCGGTGACGCCTACATTACATCAGCCTTGTTATGTTTGGGCGTACTTCACTATGACATGTATTCAAGTACTGTACTGTATACTTTCCTATATCTATGCACTGTATAGTTTTACCTGTCATGCTATATACATCAACTTCAGACACAGGTTAATGGCCCCTTTAAACCTTCAGCCAGCAAATCTCCAAATATTTACTTATATATATATATATATACTGTATATATATATATATATATATATATATGCTAACTTTTTATGTGCTTTTTTTTTCCAATTTGAGACTTTGTTTAGTTAAGTATAGTTCTGTCATATGCAAGGCTTTTAAAAATGACAGCCCTTAATTTTATCTCCCAGTATACGTAGTTTCTTACATGGGGTCAAGTATAAGGTCTTGGTCCCTAGACTTAATGAATGCTGTACTGTACCTCTGATGTGAAATCTTCTGAAATCTCTACAAGTACTGTACATAGTAAAGCAACATTTCTGTATTAAAACATAACCAAACTTTGACATAACATGGAAATATTTGATGAAATTTCGCAGCCGAAAAGAGTCGGCCAAGTCCGGTGTATTGACATGATATGACATGATAAATGATTGGCACAGTGTATCGCATGACAACCCTTTTGTCTCTTAGGTTGAAAGTCCCGAACATTACCAACTGAGCAATGGTGCCCCCTAGAGACCTGCCATATGTATCATTATTTCCCCACACCTGGCAAAGGGGAAAAAATATTATCGGTTTTCAGTAAATAAAAACTTTAATACTGACAAGATATAGGTTAGGAATTTGCCTGCAACCATTGATATCTCTTTGACCGATGCTTCTCACAAGAAACCCTTGCCGTAGTTTTTACGTTTTGCTATTTTCATTAATTAAAACGACTAAAACAGGGATATAATTGCTCAAATTAAATTTTAAGCTTTGGAAACTAATACAATATCCCTCTTGTGGTGAGGAAGTTCATCCTTGTTGAACAAGACACTTACATACATGGACAGGGATGGTTGATTACACTACCTGATGGTGTCAAATAAGATTGGTAGTGTTTTCTCTTCTCCGGCCAGGCCCACACCATCACAGGACAGGGCTGGGAAGGCTTTAAAAAATTATTATAAGTAAAGGCGATGTTTAACAATGGACATTATTGTTTATGAAAGTGCAATAAAGAAAATCTGATGGTATTGAGTATAATATTGACTAAGGAGCTGTATAGTTTTTAATACTATAAGGATAGAAAATTATGTCATAGAGGAAGGTGCTGCATTGAGGTATTTGTTTAATTTCTTCCTCAATTATTACAGTGAGAAAGACTTAGACTGTATAAAATTTGTGGATTTGCATTAATCATGACATTATGATTTTCACATGTACTTTATTTTCAATATACCATTTTCATGAACTTGTTGTTTTAATATCCAGGAATGTTTTGTACCGTATGCATGATGTTTATATCTCAAGTGTTGTGTTGGGACAGCTTGTTTAGTGTACTCTTTCTCCTCTGCCCTTTAAGAAAGAGAGTAAGCATTGCAAGAAGTGACACAGCTCCTCCTCAACAATGTGTATGTTCTTCTGTCTGAGTAGTGAATGCGGACTACAATAAAATCAACACTGCTGCTGTGAAAATGAGTTTATTGACAATTTTCTATTAAGGTATATCATAACTTAAAGATATTTCATCAAGCTACAATTTTCTGTAACTATTCCTATTGTGATGCCTATATAAGAACATTTTATTATGCACTCAAACTTACTGTGCTGGGAATACTATACAGGATAGATATTTTTTTATTAAAGTACTGCATCTTATAGTGACCTGATGACACCCAACAGGTAACATTAAGATGTTGGAACTTTTAACTTAGTGAAATTTACCATGTTCATTGGGATGAGATTTGGCATGATAGAAATTGATACTAACATGTTAAGAAAGGCATAACAAAAATTAATCATTCCTCACAAGTTATATTAAAAGACCTGGACACAGAACCTGACCAAGAGGAAGATACCATGCAGGGTGCCAGAACAAATGCTTATCCCCCAACCCTTAGCATTTATCAGTGATCAGTAACCCAGCAAAGGTTTATCCTACCATTGGCCGAGCACACACAATAAGGTCATTTTATTGTTGAGTGTACAAGTGCTAAATACGAGGTGAGAGACTCTAGTCCCAACTGAGAATCAAACCTGGGACTTTGTTTGCTGGATGAGTGTTGTAGGACTGAACAAGGGCTGTGTCCTTCACCAGTATGCAATTTATCAGTACAGCTACAATGAAACCTTCAGATAATGCACTTCTCTTCCCATATAATCTGTTAGATGGGGTTTCACAACTAAAGGATCTTCTATGTAACGGATTTTCATATCTACCGGTGTATACAGTCGAGTTCATTAGATGGAGGTTTGGCATCTAACGGACCTTCGGTATAACAGATTTTCCTCTCCATTACTGTAGTCTGTTGATGGGTGGTGCCAGGTTGTGTGAGGTGACAGAGATAAAATAGATACTGTTGATATCTTTAATCTTGTAAAGGAAACACCATAACAGAACATATACTATAAACATAGCAGTAAGAGACTGAATAACACCAGGTGAAGAATGAGTCTGTGTTTGCTCTTTACTCCGGCCATCCTGTGTTATAGCAGAAAAAAATTTAAAGAATAGATAATGATTCTACACCAGTGTATAGAAGCAAAACCAAAGAAAGCAGGAGCACTTGTAAGACTGATGAGTTTAAAGATGTGTTCATTAGTTATCCTACCAATATTCGTGAGCACATGACCTCTACCAAGACCTACTGTAGGTAGTGTTTATTTATCTTGTCTATTGTGTTTACTCGAACAAGTGTGAGATAAATAAGGGAAAAGGAACCCTCAGAGGAGTAACATAATAGGGGAGAGAAATGCAGGACAAGTGGAGAAAGTGATATGACAGCAAGTAAAAGTATCCACACATAGTTGTAACTTGAGCTATCATACCCAGTTTTGTTAATTGTTTTATTCCCTAATGAGAACTTATAAGGGTGAAGCTTCCATAGTTTTTAGTTGATGTTTGTTTATAATTTTATTAATTTTGCACAGTTCTAATTATGGTTCTACATTGCATTATTCTCCCATATTTTCTATCTTAGGTTTCGGTTCTCTTTATCTTGATATACAATAGAGTGTAGTGATGTTAATACAGTTTTTTAACAGTTATTCTTTGCCTTGTACTCACAGCAGCAGTAGTCAAGTATGGTGGAAACCGTGAGTGATCTGGTGATGGAGATACCTTGCCGAGCACCACAGATCAAACTCCTGGCCAGTCTTCTGGGGGAGGTGAGAGTACCGGCCGTGTCCTTGTTATAGAATTATTGTTTGTGGTTAAATTTACTTCCCAAAATATACTCATGAATTTATTAATCCAATCAAGTAAGAGTTCCATTTATAACTCCTCGGTATAAAGCATGAAGTCTGTGAAATCCTGCGTGTGATTTTTCTTGCTGGGGTTGTCTACCTACCTAATATAAACCATGATGAGGCCTTGTCATTTTCACAAATTTGTTTATTTTAACTATGATTCACTGTAAAGCATTTTGAGTCATTGTAGGTACAGGTACATAGTATTAATGAGTCACTTTTTATGGTACAATACATTTCCAAATAAACAATTGTGTTGGGTATTTCAGTTTGTATGATTGCCATGCAGCACTTTATACACTATTCCCTGTTATTCTTAAGGTTTCTGGGAGGGAAGTAATTTAATATGTTAGTTAATAATTATGTTTACACGTTATTTTTTATTTTTTTATTCCAGGATGAGTGTCCTTTACCAAGCAGTATATTTATGTACGGCCACAGCGGCACTGGGAAGACCTTGGTCACTACCGCTGTGTTGGAGAGGCTTGGTGTTTTAACGAGTCATGTTAACTGTATTGAATTCTACAACTCCAGGGTCATGTACGAGACCATACTCAATCAGCTCAGTGGTATGGGTCCTGTGTGTTAGTCATACTTAATAAGAAATAAATATTTTCAATACAAACCCACAAGGTATTTTAATATACTGTAAGTCTCTGCACTACATATTGGTAACCAGAGTTTATATACAACTTGTAAATAATTTGCTTCTTTCTTTTACTGTTTCTTTTTCGTCTTAGTAGTTCCTCATTTTCTTCATATTGTTCCTCCTTCCTCCTTGCCCTCCTCCCTCCTCCAAACCCTTCTCCTCCCTCCTCCACCCCTCCTTCCTCCTCCTCCCTCCTCCACCCCTCCTTCCTCATTCTCCCTCCTCCACTCTTCTCCTCTTGTCTCTCTCTAACATATATTGACCTACTTATCTGTCTGCAATTGATCATCAGTACAGTATACAATGAACAGTGTGTCTCATACAGAATGTTCCCTATGTCATTTTTTCCCTTCAGACATTTGTTCACATTCTCTTCATCTCGGTGACAGTGCAGTAAACATTCCTTCGCCCACAGGGACCGTACCAACCAGCAACAATAATTATTCGTCTTATGCATCGTGTGACAACCTGGGGGATTTTGTTGGGCACATTAGAAATATTGGAAGTAAAACGAAACAGCGGATGGCCATTGTAAGTAGAGGAGGAAGTACGAGTGTTGGTAATACCCGCATTATGTTTTTATTATTAGCTTTTATTAATCTATGGGTAATTGTATGGGATTTAATAGCAGCATTTTAGTCTACTGGTAACTGAAGGACTATAATTAGGTCTTTTCATAGTGGCATTTTGATGCGTTTATTTTCGTAGGACAGAAGGAAATTTTGTATCTATAGGCATTTGAGATGTTGTAGCTAGATTTTTATACATATTTGTTTTAATATTTTCCTAGTTGAAGTAAAGACCACATCAGTATTTGAACATGACTTACGAATTTAGTTTCGTATTTTGTTTTTGTAGTGATTTTTTTTTTTATTTATGCGACAGGTGTTAGAACATAGTGAGCGACTGCGTGACTGTGATGCAAACATTCTACCAGTGTTGTGTAGGCTACAAGAACTAACTCGGGATGTAAATATTGTGGTCATCTTCTTGTCAACACTACCCATCGACAAGTTCCGAGCCGCCACTGGATTCTTGGAGCCGATCGTTATCCATTTCCCACAGTATACGAAAGGTTGGAACTTCTTCTACAGTACTTTTGTATGTGTTATATCACTTGACTGGTGGGTATATTAAAGGTATACCTGTAGAAATATATGTTTTAGTGTACAATGAGATGTGTCACTCTTTGAGTATAGACCCAGAGAAAAGAAAGAGTGAAGGTATAATGAGCTAGAGGAGGAGGATGAGAGGGAGTACAGTCATGCTCTTCAGATACTTGTTGTCAATGGCATTGTAACATCCTGGTGAATTGATTCTGTCTCATCTCTCCCTGTGTCAGAAACAATGGTAGAGTGACCAGTTGACTTTGATCTCTTCTAACTTACCCTCTTCTTTTTATGAGTTTTTACTCCTTGATGCAAGTAAATGGCAAGTGGTGCTCATGATGAAACCAAACTAGCATATGTTTTAAGTCGTTATCACTCAAAAGGTTGTATCGTAGCTAAGTATATCAGTTAGTTGGTGAAATATTTAGAGAACCATCTTCTGGTAGCCATCTGGAACAAAAGATTAAATTTGTAGGTTATGGTCAGCTTTAAATCCATCCCTGACAACAGTTCATGGTATTTTTTTGTTTGTAGAGAGAGAGATTGAAATTTTTCTCAACACGGAACTAATTGTCAGAATTTATTGTGTTGACATACTGCACTTGTGTTAAATTATCAAGACTTTTTCATTGTAATCACTATATTTTCACTCTTGGCAAGTCTTTTCATAGTGTAGTGCTGAGTAATTGTACTCAAGGTCAATATAAATTCTTCCTCGCTCCTAGAATTTAGTGGCATATGACATAAGCTGTTGAGTCGCCAGGGATGTAATTACCACAATCAATCAATCAATCAATCAATCTTCACTCCTAGATTCCTTACCAATTGCTGCGTCTTTGTTCTAAATCAGAGCCCTAAGAAAACCATCTAGTGTACAGTGCAGTATTACCCTTGTAAGACAGTGTAAAGTTTGAATAATGTTAATTGAAGTATGACACAATTTTTATATTACTTTCATTTGAAGTAACACTTAAGCTGGCCACTGCAAGTGTGGAAAATGGCCATAGAACAATGATGATGATGATGATGATGAAAAATACATACAACCATTACTGTGAATAATTTTCAGATGAATTGGTTGAAATCCTAATGAGACAAAGACCACCCAGGTACTCCGAGGAATTTTATAAGAACTACATCAATCTGGTCCTGAGTGTGTTTTACCTGGCGACAAAAGGGTTTCCTGAGTTACAACACCAGGTAAGTGTGAGAGGATACAAGTACCATTACCTTAGACTTATTGCT